GAGATGCAATAACAATGTAAGCTGCCAAACCCACCCAAAGCAGGTTTACTTGGGCTGTCTCGAGTTCAAAAGCAGCCAGTCCGGGGCATGGGAAGCTTCAGTTCAGTCCCTAAGACTCCTGCTTGCTGTCTCAGGTACTTCACCTGCTCCTCAACACTAGCACTGATAAACCTGAATTAAGAGATGTCCCAGTATAAAAACTCCTCAGGGACAAGTCTGGCAGCTCAGTGACCTGCTAGTGCTATGAACAACTTTCTGAGGGGTGAGACACACAAAGAAAGACAGGAATTGGTTAATCCCTATACCGAGTTAGGGAGATTGAAATGAGCTGCCAGTGGCAGTGTTTGTTTGAACACAGAAATGTGGTTATGGCAGCCCCAGCGCCGCTCCCGAGGCACAGCCGGGATCCGCGTTCTGGGAAGCGCCACCACCGAGCCACAGCTGGCACCAGCGCTGCAGGAAGTGGGGAAGGTGCAGATAAGGGCAACTGCTGCCCTCAGAGTGCGGCAGGTGAAACATCAACCCGACAGAAAGCGGAACAGGCTCCAGTCTGCCATCTGAACCACCCTGCCTTGGCTGGAGGCACTCCTGGAGTTGGGAACATGCCTGCACACACGTGCACCCGGCCATGGCAACGGCCCAGCCCCAGCACAGGCTGTGCCACACAAACTGGGTTACACAATTACCCAGGTGAGCTCTTCATTCCCATTTTCCAATTTTTATTCAGCAGAAGTCATGCATTTTAGAGAATCTCTGCAATTTAAGATATTTAACTAAAAAAAAAAAAGAACAATCCAGAAGACAATGAACTACAGCTAAATGTAGCCTCTTGCAGTTGGTGAGCTCTTTTTATAGCACTGTATATACTGTATCCATCTCTGGCAGCAATCACAAAACAGGGAACAGAGGAGTTGAAAGCCTCAGGATTGTGCATGCGTAATTAGATGAGACACTTCCTTCACGAGGGTAATGTGAAACAGAAGTAACAAAGCAAAACAAGAACAATCTCCTTTGTGCAGCACACAGATTACATCATGATTCATATGAATTCCTTGCACATTATTCCTTTTGTGTCCCGCACTGATAAAGCATTTTTCCTTTTCAAAAAAGGCTCTGGACAGTTTCACAAAGGGTTAAAGCTTAAAAAGGGAGAGAGAAAAAAAAATCCTTGTTGAAGAATGCGGCGGTGCAAATGAAACTGAAAGCCTCGGCACATGCACATGGCCACAACAGCTAAAAAATAACTCGTCACCCGGGTAAAACCTTGAAACCCACAGTTTGAGGCATTTAAACCCAGATAAAACCTTGAAACCCACAGTTTGAGGCATTTTAACAATGTTTCTACTCAGCTGAGAGAAAATCAGTGGCAAAATACACACTGAAAGCAAACAGTGAATTTTGGTGATTTAAGGATACTGAAAGCTGTACATCTCTTTAAAAAATAAAAGGGAAAAAAAAAGACAAAAAAAAAAAAAGACCACAGATGTTCCGGGAATACTATGGCATTCTACAATTCCTTTTGAAGTTTAAAAAAAGAAAAAAAAAAAAGAAAAGAAAAAATCCGCAGCAAAAAATAGCCCTGCTTCTTTTTCAAGTGCCTGCTGAAAATAGCTGTCAGTATTAAAATGAAAGCCCGTTAAAATGAAGCAGAGCGAGCCCACGCCCGGCAGAGCAGCGGAAGCGGGGGGAGGCCGCGGCAGCCGCCGCTCCCGGGGGCCCGCGCGGCGCACGCAGCCAATGGCGGCGCGGCCGGCGCAGGGCGGCCTTTGAACCCCGCGGCCGCTTCCCGCGGCGCCCGAGCGGTGCGGCACAAAGAACAGCCATTTTGTGACAGCGCCGGCCAACGCCGCCCGCCTCAGCCGCCCGCCCCAGGCCCGCCGCTGCCCCGGCCACAACGGGCTGCCCCCTGCTCCCCGCGCCACACACCGGGGGCAGTTTGTGCCTAACGCGATCGTTTCCCTCCTCTCCCCCCCCTCGGCCAAACGCTGGTTCGTGTGCGCCGACATCTCCATAAAATGGCTGCCACGTCAGGCGAGGGTGTTGTGCTGCGCAAAGCCCTGCGCTGGGAGGTGGCTGCTGAGCAAAAACAGCCATTTCAGACCTCGGAGCTCCAGCCCTGCACAGAAAATGGCCCGGGAGCTAATCCACTACAAGCTATTTTTCCCCCAAAAAAAGATGTTTTAATGCTAGAGAAGCCCAGAACTGGATACAGACACAAGGGCTGGCTCAGCCTTGAGGGGTCTGCAGCTAAAACCATTCCCACGCCGGGTATTTCTGAGGTGGGAGAGCAACTGCAACAGATACAGGCCAAGGGAAAGGAAAACTACGTATCTATCCCATGCCTGTTACTTGCTATCCCTGCAAAACTCACTCTGGGCTTCAGGGGGGCCCCAGCCTGTCCCTGGCCTCTGCACTTCCCATGGGGGCCGACCATGGATGAGGTACCTTCACACTGCCTGCCTTTCACACATGCAGCACAGAAGATGCTAGAAAATACAGCAGATTGTGTTCAATTACTTATGCAAATCTCAGGCACACAGGTGGGGGTCAGCAGGAACTGCAGCAGACCCAGAGCAACTTTTACCTTGGGCAAAGTTGCATAAAATCCCTCAGCTCCAAGTTGGATTTACTGTCCAAGCACAAAGGACAGGTGTTGCTGGGCACCTGGAGAGGCAGGAGTACAAGCCTCAGCTTACAAACTGTAAAGAGTTAACACCATCACTCTCTCCAAGAATAAATCATCTGCTTTGGGACAATTCTCAGACATTTCTATTTATTCCACACAGGCCTTTGTAGTCCCTTAGAACTGGAAAAGGAGGAGTCAGTTCCTCAGTTAGGGCACTGCAGTGGTGTGCAAGAACTGTATTTTCTTCCACTCTAACACCCTTCTCCAGCCCAGGTGAATGGCACCGGCCATATCCACCTCCTCCACCACCCAGGGTTCCCACCAGGACTGTGCAGCCTCCATGTTCAGGTACTTCCATGGATACCAAGCTGGTCTCAGCAGCATGAGAAGCACGGACACCGGTGCATTTTGGGGTTTCAATACAGCAAAGTGGTGGCTTTACTTCCTAGAAATCATTTCCCCTACTTCAGGTCAACCTCAGGAAGTAAAGCCCATTTTATGACATTGAGCTGACTCACACCTCACAAATAAGCTCAACAGGGTTCACTTGCAAATATCCTGTGCTCAATTGTTCCCACACTTCAGGTGTGCTGGTGTCACACACAGCAGGTTTATTCAGAGGAAAAAAAGATGTGAAGGGGGAGAAGGGGAACCTCACACAACAGGTGTTAAATGTAAATGATCAATTATGATAAATAACCTTTCAATGAAAACCCCAAAAGCACACGAGACACTATGCAAATCTCATACCCCTAAGGACAAAACCCCCTGTGGGACTCCTGCTACATGGCTCAGATTTTAGCTCCTATTCCTTTCCAACACTGGTAAAATACTTCCAATTTCCTCAACAAATTATGTCAATTGCTGCTCTTGTTGATAATATCCACTTCAAATAAGCATAAAAAAAATACATAATCTGCAAAATAATTTTTGTACGTGGTGACTTTTTACATAATATTTTGTGTGCATTTACAGTAAAGAAAGCACAGTATGAAAATCTGATGTGTTTTTAAACTGCATTATTAGAAAAGCTCAGTTTAAGTGCTTCAACAATCCCTGAGGCTAATTTAGTTATTAATAATTTCAAATTAAACAGTCTTACCCACATTTATTTTAGAATTTAAAATTTGACTGCATTTTTAATACATCCAGAATACCATCCAAGTTTATATTAGAAGGTTACAATAATTTGATTTTATATATATATATATATATATAGCCACACTATTTCAAGTTCATGTGCTTAAGGAAGGTTAAATACTGGACATCAAGAATACTATTCAAACACCTGAACATCACATAGAGCACATGTGATACAACAGACAGTTCAGAGTTCTTTTTTATTAATGTCGGTTAAAAATGCAGGAAGACAACACCAGAGAAAAAGAAACAGACCAAGATTCAACTGAAATTAACAAAATGCAAAACTCAGTGATATTTACAAACCAAAACCAAAAATGCATGTAGTTTAATTTCCAATTTTTGGAAGAGCCGACCTTTTAAATATAAAGTGAGCGATTTGGTAATTGTACTTCTGCATTCCCAGCAAACAAACATTTTCAGTATTTCATACTTTTCCCACATCAAGGTTAAGTTTCTAAAAATCTGTAAAGAATCTCATTACTTGACAAAAGTAAATAAAAATACTCTGAGCAAAAATACGTTAAACAAAACAAGCAAATCATTTGGTGCCTCTTGTTAACAATCCCAGTGTATATTTTATGAAACAAAATGCCATCACCAGCAGGACAAAGTCTGGTTAAATTGTATAAAAATATTCTAAAATACCTCCACAGAATCAAAGTTCTACAAGCCCAAATAAAATTTGAAGTAAGAGGTATCCGACAAACAGGCACTTTCCAGTTTATATTTTAAAATAAGCTTTTTTTCATTCATGTAACTTTTTCTTGTGCCTATTTACTATAATTTACTACTACACCAGGCTTCTGTATGGCCCTCAGTTAAAGTTTAGACTTCTGAGATTCTTCAAAGAAAAATTTGCCTTGTATGTAAAATGGTGCAATGCAGCAATGGCTAAACCGACAAGGTCATTTTTCACAGCACAAAAAACCTAAAAACTGAAATTCAAAAGCTGGAAAAACATCATACAGGGGCAAGGGCTGCCCTGAATAAAGGTACAGTACCTTTTGCCTAGGACATGGGCCCTTAAGTCACAACACAAGTTTCAGAAATTGCTACCAAAAAAAATTAGGGTGTGGCATGCTAACAATCTCAAGGTCATTCCTTAAAAAGGAAGCAAAATCACTAAAATGTTTTCTATTAAGCACTGACAGTAACCCAAGGCTGTCAAAGTAAACAGGGTATTCACAGGTTTTACAAAAAAAAAAAAAAAAAGAAAGTTGATAGGTCATACCTCGATGCATTGCTGTGGACTGAACCCTCCTCTCCTTGGCTTTTGTCCTTATTTCTCATCATCTTTTTATTCTTAAATATTAAAAGGGGGTCAGGGGTGTCTGTTTGCTTTGAAGTCCTGTGCCCAGGTATTTACTGTCAAAAGTTGAAAGAAAGGTAAGGTCCCAGTTCGTTTCACTGGCTTTCATTATCAGGAACAAAGTCCTGACGCTGCAATGATATTGTTATAACAATACACAGCACTGATCAACACGGCAAACCGGAGATTTAAAACAAATAATCATTTTTACAAGAAAAATCCGAGAATAAACACAGGAGAGGAGCATCCTGCAAACTTTCCCAAAGTAACACTGGATGCAAATAATCTCTGTATCTTATTGCGTCATCCCAATACAGCACAAATCGGTCGAAAATCAAAGTATTCAAAACGGCAGAAATCTAAAAATTATTATTATTAATTGCTCACCTACCTGATCCATGCACCGCCGCCAGGACCAAGTCGATATTAGTTTCGGGTAGTGGAAAAACATCGGATCCAAAATATTTGTAATTATACCGATAAAATACAAATTTCAGAAAATGAAAAAAAAATATATATTCTAATCCCAAAAATATGCTGCCGATAAAGCAAAAGAAGCGGTAATTAGTACAAAAATGTCCGGGGGAAAAAGCTCATTAGGAGAGCGCACAAAAATGGAGGTACGCCATGGCTTCTAAGCTGGAAAAACAACGACCTGGGCTCTCTCCACGGCTTCTTCTTTCCAGCAAGGCACGAAAAGGGAGCCCTCAAAAGCTGCTTTTCTGCCCGAAAAAGGTCCGCTCGGCCCCCGATTAGTGCCTAGGAGAGGCAAGGGGCTGTGGGGGCCCCCTGAGGCTGCCTGAAAGTTAGGGAAAGTTGCGTAAAGTGTTGGGGAAGGCACGGAGCTGAGCGCGCTCTCTCTAAGGCACAGCCGCCATCTAGAGCTCCTTCCCAGCTCTGAGCTCTGCCTTTGATTGACACTCTCTACATTTACCCCACAACTCAGGTGATGTACCATAGACCCACCCCTTCATTTCTACCAAAAAAAGAGAGAGCCTCCACCTAAAGGGTGCCTGCTACCCCACAGCCCTGGCTCCCTCCAACTACCCCAGCTCAAGGGGCACCTTAACCCCATGTGGCTCAGGCACCCTTTGGAAGCCAGAAAGAAATGGAATTTGTGCCTTTTGTTTTAAAGATTTGTTAAATATTTCAGTGCCTGGGCTAAAATTACTTCCTCCCTGGACAGGAAGTGGTGCTGTTACAAGCCATTTTGAAGGCATGGAAGTGGAGCTCACAGCCATGCAGGCAGCAGCAGCCCACCCTGGGGTCACCCCACCCAAGGGGCAGCTTCCCCCCAGTTTGGAGGCAGAACCCCCAGACAAGAGCTCTTCCCTTTGCCCCCCAGTGCTGGCACTGGCAGGGGTGGACAGCAGCATCAGCAGCTCCCAAGCCAAGCCCACAGAGCTGAGACTGCCCTGCAGCTCCACAGCGCCTCCCTAGTGGTTCCCCCAACAACTCAAATGCAGCAGCCACAGCACTGCCACCAGCTACACCAAGGCACTGCGCCCAAGGCAGTCCAACACCATCAAACTGCTCGTTTCTAATGCACTTTCTTAACCCATTCATGCTCATTAACAGATTTTAACGCGACAAATTAATTTTAAAGCTGCACAATAGCCAAGCTGCACAATTGCAAATCAATCAATGGACATCTCCAACACGACATCCTGGAATTGAGAGGATGTATCACCATGGGAATGGAGGTGACCCAAGCATCCCCTGACCACCTGATTCTGACTACCAGTTGTCTTCCACGACCAAAACCAAGCCCTCAAAGCACAAGAACATCTTGCATGTTCATAAGCATCACAACAAGACAAGAGCCACCAGCCACTGGGGGCCCACTGGAGGACAAAGGGGCAATGGGCTAGTTTGGGGTTCTGTGGGAACATCCATGGCTCAGCACCCCAACAGCCCAAAACCATTGGCTTCGACCAGTAGAACCAACACCATCCCCTTTAATTCCTCCAGGGATCTGCCATTTATCTCCTACAACCATCCATCCTCTTTCCACAAGGGGCTTCATTAGGAACTCCCCAATGCCACAAACCATTTAAAAAAATTCCACTTTACCAATAATTCACAGAAGACTCCTTGCATCTCAACTGCAAGAATTAAAAAACCACAATGCAAGACCATTCCAAACATTTTCTGGTAAGACTAAAGAAATCCACTCATTTGAATGAGAACCCTTCATGGTGATCCCAGAATCCAACTCCACCATAAAAACACATGGCAAAACCAAACTGGGGCAAGCATGCACCACCAAAATGGCTGGATGGAACAGGTATGAGCAACTCATCATGGCAAAAATGGGCATTTCCAAAAAAGTCTGAGCAAGGCAAACGGTTAAACACAGACAATGAACAGGATTTTGTTTGGGTTTTCAAATACAATTTCAAGATTCTCTCAGCACCAGGTTCACCATCTTGACCCTCCAGCACAAAACAAAGACAACTTTGAGTTTCGGGTGAAACATACAAAAAAGAAATGCCTACAGTTAAATTATTAGATCCACCCAGACACCTGTAAGGAAATAATGACTTTGAATATTAGAACCATTTTAGAATTAATTTGCAAAGGTAAGTATGTCATCTGTAGCCATATCAAAAATAACTAATTTTCTCTCACCAACATGGCAGAGTATTGTGACACTAAGGCTACATGCAAGAGCAGTGAAGCACATTGGACACTTGCACAGAACAGTTTTAAGACCAAAGAGACTGTTCAGGAAGTCTGTAGTCCAGGAAATCTGTTGAAAAGTTTCTGTACCCACACACAACCCAAGAACATACCTAAAAAAGTTACACAAAACATTCAAGTACTCTTTTATTGTCGTATTTTCTCAGCCTTCAATTGGTATCAATTCCATCTTAAAATAACTTCACAAAGTTCAGCAGCAGTGCCCTGACAATAGGCCAAGTACTGAAAACCCCTCATATTAAGCACCTGAATGAACAAGCCAGAGAATAAAAATTCATTGGAAGTCATGGCAAAGTGAACATAATTTGCAAATGAAAACCACATTTGATACCCAGTATAGCACAAAATTTTACCTTGCCTCCAGTACTTAGCTAAAAGAATTTCTCAGTTTAATAGCAACCAAAAATGTAACCCACTTCAGTATCAACTCAATAAAAAATATTCAGCCAGAAAGGACAAACACAAAGTGTGAAATAAACCAAAACCTTTTATTTAAAGTCACTTTATAAATTACATTTTCTCAAAAGCAATAGCAACAGATCTTTTACCAAATTAATTTGCCTGTCATGCAAAAACAACCCAAAAGGAAAATTTTGCCACTCAGTTCTCAAACAGATCCATCATTGGATATCACTGATTAATTCAAATGTAAAGTCCATTTTGATAGGATGATCACAACCCAGATCTTCTCTGGTTTAATAACATGAGAGTCCACGTTTTAACATCCTTTTCTTGGACAGACATCCCAGCACTCATGCATTAGTCCATTTCCTCAACCTCTCATTCCCCAGTGGAACTGCCATCTTGGTGTCTCATTCGTAGACTCCTTTTGACACTCTTCATCTGAATGGATTCTTTATGAAAAATTAGAAGAAAAATGCTGTTGGAATACACATCATTGCTTTAAACTAAGACATTCAACTACTGTACCTTGAAGATAATTTAAACACGTAACTGATGCTTCATTCCATCTTACACAGTCCACAATATCTATTTTCATCAGAAACAATATCAAATAATCAATTCAAGAATTTAAAAAAAGAAAATTTAACCAAAACTATAAAAAAGTGGGAGAAAATATTAGAAGTCCAAGAACCCTTTCAGGATCCATGAATTCCATCTGAAATTTTTAAACCACTAGAGAAATCCATGGTGGGAAATCAAAGAAATTTGCTCTTGCAACCATTTTCATGGCACTGGCCCATCCCCTGGAACTGACATTGCTTAGCAGAACACCAAGGTTCTTGTAACAAACCAAAATTTTTAACTAAGTACTATTCAAGCTCCTTTCTTCAAAGACAAAGATCCATCAAAGCCAATGAAAACTGGTTTCTTATAGACAGATGGTGACTGGACACAAGACATTCCACCATCTTAACCCAGTTTTCCAGCTCATGAAAGATGCAACAGCACACACACACAGGCAAATGGGATGGCTGGTTTAGTTACTGGTGGGAAAGGACACGCCAGAAATCAGACAGAAATGGTCACAAGTCACCCTAGCTACCTTCAGCAAGGCTCCAGAGCCACATTCCAACTGCACTCATCATGGAACTGCAACCAAGCCCACAGGTGAGTGACAAACCAAACTGAACAAACAGCATCCACATGGAGAAATACAAACCCAACGTTCCCATCTTCCTATCTCCTTCCAAGAAATGCAAGCTCAATTTGCTTCAAGTAAAACCTTACTCCTCCTCACATGCAAAACTTGGGTACAGAAGTTACTAAGTGTTAAGAACATCATTTTGAAACCAATACTGACTGTAGGCTGATATGCAAAAAGGGTTTTAAAATGCCTTCATGATTTTGAGTATCTGCACTTCAACATCAATTTACGGTTTTGGATATGTATAGGTTTAACCTCATTTTAGTCTGAAAACCAACTACACCACCACTCTGCTCCCTGCTAATCCTGGGCAGATTCTGCCAAGGGATGCAGAAATTACCCACAGCCCAGCAAAAACCCGTGGGGCCATCTAGTGGTCTCTGCCTCAGCATCCCAGCTTGCCCAGCCTCACCTCAAAACCACCAGTTACAGCAAAGCAAAGAGCACTGGAAGCAGTGCAGGAAGCCCCAGTCTGACTTCCACAAGTACCCACGTGTCCTGTTTTATGCTCCTCTATAGATTTCCTTGTTTTAAATACAAAGGGAAAGTCGTGCACACAGAAGTGGAATATGGCATCTGGTAATTTCACTTTGCATTGTAAAACATGCAGAGCTGCAGGAGTATTCAAGCCCAGGACACTCCTGCTTTCAGAAACAGAACTTCCAAGTTTAAAGAAATGCTCTGTTTCAAACATTCAACTCATCCTCAGTTAAGACAATGTGTTAAATAAAGGTCTTTTCCCCTCACACTAAGCTGGTTTTTAGGTTTGGTTTGGGATTTTTTTTTCCAGTTCTCACCAAATTAATTTCAAATCTATTTAGGCATTTGAGGATTAATTAAAATTTTGAATGTTTTTTCACCATAATGCCTTGACTGAAGTATCAAAACATGAAAAAAAACCCCACAAAGTCATCCATTATTGACACAATCAAACACTCTGAAGTACTAACATACATACAGTGGAAACCCCAAAATTAAGATCATTAAAATTATTTTTCGTTATTTTTAATAAGCTTAAAATATAGAAATCCAATTACTGACATCAACTTTCCCCACCTCTAAAAAAGGTAATTTAGTTATGTATTAGTCACCCTTTAAAAGGCCCTTTCCAGTTGGGTCAGCCCTGTGCCTCAGACACTCACAGGACCTGCCAAAAGCAATCTCAGGGCAAATTTCCCTGCTCGGTTCACCTATGTTGGCTTGGACCAAGAACTTCACAAGTAACCCCATGACCTTCATCTTAAATGCTTCTCTAAACCTTGTAAAATAATTAGCAGTAAACAGAACTGATGAGGGATTATAATTAAGAACACATTCTTGTTCTCCAAGCTATTATAATCAAAAAGATGCCACAGGAATGGCCAAAATATTAACAGCAGCCTCTACACTTGTGAAATTTACATTTGCTTTAGAAGATTTCAGTGTTTGTTTACTTATGAATTAAGGCATATTTTACTAAGAAATTTCAATAATGTTACAAAAATACACTCCTCCATGAAGACATATGCAGTGATCCTACACTTGAGGTAGATACTGAAAAACCCATTTTTTTCCCTAGATGACATGAGTCTACCATTCCTCCTGTAAAATGAATAAGGCATCTGCCCATTTCTCAAGCTTCTGTTACTACTAGTTACTGGTTTGGTTTCCAAGCACTGTTATTTTGGTGATGATAAATCAGGGACCTGGGTAGTCCTGTCATCCTGACAAAGTTTCCTTCAAACCACTGGTAACATGTTGGCACTCCATGCCATCCATTCCCAGCCTGCCTAAAGGCTCAAGGCAACAATTACAAAACATCTGAGTTTACAAAGTTTTTCTCTTCAGTTTTTTTTTGCCATTATTTGTTGCTGTATTAAAAGATCACAGCAACAATAGACACTGCTTATGGCCAAACCCATGGCTTCAGCCATTTCAGGTCCCCTGTGACCCTGCATTCCTTAAAGGGTGAGCCTGAAGCCCAACAGGTACAACTGCCATGTGTCAGACACCAATACATTTATAAACTATTCCAGAGTGAAACCTGAGGTTTAGACTCTCAACCCAGGTGACCTACTTGGGAAAGGGAATTCACTCCAACAGAGGGAGCTGAATGGACAAAAGGAGGTTCTGAGCAAACCAAACCTCAAGTTCTGCGCTTCAAAGTTCATTAAAGCAAGGTTTTACTCTCAACAACACCCCTGGTAACTTTTACACTGAAGGAGTGTTCTCTATTGGCAGCTAAATCCATTATTTTATTCTGTACCATCTTTAGCAAGGACTAAGTGCTCTGGACAGCCCTAAATCTGCTTTTACCACCATCAGATGTTCCTTAAGCAGAGCAGTAAAAGCACAACTCATGTAGGTTTGGGTATTTTTAGGTAAGAAAGGCTATTTGCCAGGTTTGTCAGATTTCAAGGTTAATTCCAGATAACATGTGGCTTTATTCACAAATATACTCTTTTGTGGGTATTGTTTTTAAATAATAAATTTTATTGCATGAAGCAAAGTATGCCAACTTTAATAAAGCCCCTGCTGGTTTCAAGTTATTTCCTCTCTTCTCTTAAAAAAGAGAGTTAAAAATAAAAATCAGTGCTTCAACTAAACACCATGTTAACCAGAGAATGCAAGGTCAGACCTTTCACACTGCAATACTTTCAACAACTGCTTTTTGAAACAACTTATTTGTATACAACTATTTCAACAAAGTCATTTAAGGGTTTCACATTCACCTCTTCCTTTTAGGTAAGGATTGTACACCAGAAAAGGATGGAATAATTACTCAGTGTGTAACTGAAAAGCCAAGTTCTACTCCAAGAGCCAGATCTGACAATAGCTAATTTACAACCCAATGAAAAAACAAAAATGCACACAGGAAGATGTAGCAATCACACAAAGATTAATATTAAAATGGAACATGAGTCACATGTTTAGAGATTCTAGCAGGTGACTGGGGCTAGGAAGGCATCAGTGGATAGCATAGGAAGAGTTTTGAGGAACAGCTGGAGAAGAAACATATCAAGAAATCTACTGCTCAACACACACCTGCAGTGGGAAAAACAGCTTAAGATTTCTGAAAGAACAAAGTAATAAAACATACAGACAATAGTAGTAGAAGAAATTAAATACTTATCAAAAATGAGTTTGTGTACACACATTAAAACTTTAAAGAATTAAGTCCATGATCTCTTTCGCTACATCTTTTTCTACTTCTTTTGCTTCAGGACCGAAAACTCAAATGACAAAATTGGTCGAAAATAAAATGGGCCCAGAAGCAGCAGGAGGCCAGACTGACAGCTTGGCAAGGCTTGCAGCATCTCCCACAAATCGCTTTTCCTTTTCAGAAGGGCTCTATGTTAGGCTCCACACCTTGGAGTGGAAGAGAAGCACAGGACTTTGGAGCACCAAGCCAGCTTTTCTCCCAGCACCTGAGGCAGTGCAGAAGGCAGGGGCTGCTGGAGGGCTCTGCTAACAAACACAGCCATGGCACAGCTAAAATTCACTGTCATCCAGCCACTAAAATAGTGGATTTGCATCTTGGAATATTTTCCCAAGCTATCTGAAGCCTAAGGAAGGCCTTGCTCAATCAGGTAGCATGTCAGACTAAAAGAAATTGTCTCTTAAAGAAAAGCATATATTCCAAAGCACAGTGCTACAGGAATAGAGCTTCACATAAAAAAGTTAACCCATGTATACAAAATGCAATGGATGCCCTAATTAAATATGCAGAATCAAGGAGTCTGAATTTTAAGCAGTGAGAAAGACAAAAAGACTTGGGTCTTTCCACAAGCAACTCTTAAGAAAGTCACAAAATGTGCCAGAGACAACAAAAGGTCCAAAATCCCTTTAAGGAAATGGACCCAAAAGGTCCAACAAAAGACCAAATCCCTTTAAGGAAATGGAAAAAAATTCTGTCCCTATATTCATCCAGTATAGAACTGAATTAATTTACCTACTCAAGCCTGCCAACTTTATGTTTTGACTATATGAGGAATGATTTCAAGTCTATCAGCTAGAAGTTTAATTTAAAAAAAATACAGAAAACTGTACTGGCATTTATCATTTTGTGCAAAGCCAAAGTTTTATGAATGAAGAACAGAAACAGAACAATTGTAGAACAGGAGACAGTTACTGCCTGCTCAAAGGCTCCCACTGATCCTGACAGAAGCATAAGGACAACACAAGATGCTTGTACAGCAAGTTCTTCCTGCTATACTTTCCACACCATTTGTTATCCAAATTGTGTGTAGTACCTCTCTAGAGACAGACATCTGCAAACCAAAAACTCTTCTGAACAAGCACAACTATGATATTAAAGTTCCCAGTGCAATCTGGAGTCAAATCGTGGAAGCCCCCAAACTACAATCAGCTCTGAAAGCTGCTCTGCAGGCAGCCAGGGACAGAGCACTATCCAAGCACTGCTCACTTCCCCAGGGCCAGCAGGAATGACCCAGGCTCCTTTTCAGCTTTTCTGAAGCACACATGGCCACACACCAATGACCTTCAGAATGTACTCAGCCAAAGCCTTCAGCCACTTAAACATTACAGCCATGTGTGCTTGCTGGGCCTTTATTAAAGCTAAAAAGTAAATGTTATTAGGAATAACAACTTACCAGTGCTTCAACCAAGAGCAGCTATTTTGCGCTACAGTGAGTAAATCAGTTCCTGAACACATCTGTAGGGAAAATAGGATATTAAAACACTTGAATTAAAATAAATTTAAAAATAAAAGAGATCTAGACCTTGAGGTCTACAAGACCAAGCACTAGCTTTTATTACAAAAGCCCTCATAAAAAAAACAAACAAAAACCCCCCACAAACACAAAAAACCCAACCATTCCCAGCTCACAGCATGTGCTGGACAAGTTATTTTTATAAAAAATTAAAGTATCACTAAGGAACCTGTTATTAAAGAACCTGGAAACAACCCAAGAAATTCAGACCCAATCCACAAATTCATTGAGAAAAAACAACAAAAAAGATATTCTTAGAAGTTTTTCAAAAAGATCAATCAGGCATCAAGTGGAAATATGCTTAAGCAAACTAACTGGCCCTTCACAATAGAAAATAAAATGCTCTTTTTATTGAGAGGAGGTATCTGCGGGATGGAGGGCAATTATGTAACATTTATGTAGAACAAACTATCTATGCTATCTATGTTACTCATGTATGAGCAAAGTTCAATGTGGAAATCTGACCCTGAAAATGCCTACTGGCAATCTGTATCAATAAATTCCTAATCACAGTTACCTTAAGCAAAGGTAGAAAGAACCTAAAACACTAAAACAACTCATGAACCCCCTTTTCAGGGTAAATTTCAACTACATGAAGCAAGGCATTCAAGTTTATCCTCCTGACACATACAAGCAAACCACTTCCCTTGTCATCTTTCAGAATCTACTTATATTGAAATACAGCCTCAAATACATAAAAATTAATGAACCTATCCAGTGACAGCCTACTGTGCAATCCTCTAAATTCTTCTCTTCCCCTTGACAGCTACTCAGAGGTAGAGAAAGAAATATGGGACGAGGAGGATTGCAATTTCTTTGTTGATGTAATTTACTTGAAACTCTTACTATGAAAAAACACTTAAAAAAGGGAAATGAAAAAAGAAAAATAGCAGTAGGCTGGCAGAAAGATGTAGAATATCCTAATGCATGTGAAATTTAGAGGTTTAAAATGCATTAGTGGTATTTTTAAATGTATGTATTTGAATGTGCACAAGCAGCTGCTATTAAATGGAAGCACAGAACTTCTGGGAAGTGCCCATCCACCATTTTACAAGGAACACAACATGGCTGCTGGACCTTGATCAGCCAGGAGGCATCCATCAGTCATCCAAGGCATGGAAAATGAACCAGGGAAACAAGTGTTACTCGGGCCCTTTGAAGCATTTCACTCAAAAAAGGCCACTTAGAAACTACAATCTATATCAAGGCAGGTACAATTAATGACTGGAGGACTCTCAGTTTACAGCTCTCAGCCATTTTTAATAATTCTTGGCACAGCCACACATCCGTCACTGCTTCCAAGTCGGTTTTTGTTTTCTTTAGTTCTAGAGCAGGCACACAGCTATGGTAGTTTGACAGAAACCTTAATGAGGGTAATATTTAACATGGCTGCCACCACAAAGCACCTTCCTCTAATGACAGGGTTATGAAGACTCCACCAGACTTTTGTTCTTCTGACCTCAGCACACTTGTGCAAAAGGAATCTTTGGTGTGTCAGAGTGGTATCGTGAGTAGTAGTGACACTTCTCTTCTGGGAAGTGAGTGGACAAACCAAACAATGAGTTTTGTAAAAACAGCATGAGGATGTTGATAATATATTAAATTTCATTCACATTAGTTATTTTTTCACGACTGTAGAATATAGCCCCTGTATTCTGAGTCTTTAATTTTTATATCTGAAACACATTCACTCTTAAACTACAGAATAAATCACCAAAGCTACAGGTTTATGTCACAAGCCAGAAACCAGAGCTTGGGAATACAAGTCATGGCTGAAAGAAAACAACTTTTCATGTTAACAGCTCTACTTCATGTATCTAATGTCAAAATTTTTAATCAGACTACCTACTATAATTGTTGTAGTCTGGATGATTAAAAAAATCCACCCCCTATTTAAAAATAAACCTGAATTTACTTTCTCTAGGTTATCTAACAGCTGTGGCTTATTTTTGTATTAAATTACAGACACTCCTAGCACAGTACAGCCTATCACACCAAACATGCCCGGCCTCATAGGTGCATGGCTCCTTCCCCCAAAGACTGGCACTAACCATCACACAGTGCATCTCCTTTTTCAGCAAGAGGTGAGGTCAGACACCCAAAAGCTATGAGCTGGTATCCCATTTTCTATTTTCTCTTGTATTATTTAATTAACAAAGTATTTTGGCAAAGACAACGTGTATCACCCCACCAATGTTCTTCCATGTATGCTGTCAATGCCACCAGAATCTGTTCTATGAGAATATTTAACAGGGGTTTGTGTCCCCACAGAGGAACAGCTTCCTCTACCAAGGAGGCTTGGAGTCAAGCTGAGAGATTCTCCTTGAGCCCCGCCAATCCTCTCGAGCACGCTGCAGCGTAGCCATGAACCTGGAACTTCCCTCAAGTCCCATTAGTGTGCATCTAACACACTGAGGTCTACTTTCCTAGAGGGGAAGCCACTGTGAGCTGAAAACAAGTTGTTCTTGCAAGAAAAGGCAGCTCTGAAGAGCTCACAAAAGTTAAAGCTGCTTTTATTGTAATGTCTATTCAGCATTAGGACAATATTGGAAAGATGCAAGACCGTCAAGACCAAAGTGCTGAATTCCATCGTTATCATAAAACACCCAGGTCGGGCAAGATCCGCTCTTGAGCACTGTGATTTTCTAATTTTTACTCTGCTATTCTTTTTTTGTTAAGAGCAGATCAGTTAGAAATTGCAGATTCAGACATTTCAGAATTTAATACCAGGAATATAAGTCAAGTGTGACAGGTTCAATCCCATCAGCATTATCAGACTTTTGTGTGACCCAGGCTGGGCTTGCCTTTATCGTAACAGACTGTGCAGTATCTGTGATTTTTGACCCTCTAAACTGAAAACTTACGTGGGATTTTAGATATGGCCGGTTGTTCTTAAAGTATGAGATAATTTCTAACAGAAACTTCTAGTTCTCACACTTGCCATCACACAGTCACACGATGAAGTTGCAGGAACATTCTGACATATCACCTTGCTCGTTAGCTGTGTTTGCTGCAGGACATCCATGATGGTGGCACATGTCCAATATCTATAAATATAATTTGAACTCTACCTTTAACATCAGCAGTGACTCACTGCAGATAAAGGTTTATTACAACCTGAAGAGACGTTTTTGTAAAGCTTATGGAAAATTGTGTACAATCTCTTTTCTGTGAACAGACTGAAGGCTTCAGCCAAGCAAAAAAAAAAAAAAACCAGCTGCACTCAGGTGGGGGCTCACAATTGTATTATTATTTGGTTATCATGATGCATTATGTAACTTGAAAAAGCAAATCATGAAAAGTATTTCTGGGAATCCTGATACATGTGTCCTCGTGAAGACGCCTTACGCTTTGAGGTCCTGAGTATGCACAGAAGTACACGAGCACGGGAGGCTGTGAAAAGGAACCAGTTAACACAGGCAAACAGGATCCCCCACTTTTAATTACAGAGAGCTAAAAGGCTAACTCAAAGGTTACTCTGATCCTAAATGCAGAATCTGAAGTGTAAAAACAAAAAATAAACATTGAAAAGATGCTTTGTTTACGCTGCAAGGAGAGCAAGATAGCTCGTAACAACTGGGGTACCACTTTAGGCTTTTAGAAAAAAATTTACACCAAAACCAGAATTTTAAAGTTTATTGTATAAGCAATTTCTCGAAAAGGAAAAACTTATGAGCGACCCTTGCTAATAAACCAATACCTTGAACTAAAGAAAAGCATTCCTGAAGTTTCATTAGACAATATCCTTAGGAGATGACAATCCTCTGGCTTCACCACATGTCAACATGGTCATAGCAGATTGTTAAAAAGTTGTACTTGTGAGTGAACACAAAATCTTCAATGATGCAGGAGACATTAACATTGCTGTAGTACGTACATACTAACAACTTCCAAATGCACCAAGCTCAAAAGAAAATAAATTCAACAAGCTAAAACACTTAAACTTAAATGTTTAATGTTTATTTTGAAAAAACTGTTTCCAGGATGATTAAAAAACAAAAAACATAAAATAAACGAAACCCCACAGCAGTGTAACATACCTGGCATGCACAGTACAGAATTTTGCTCAAGGTCTTTTGCCCAACCAGTCATCTGAATCTTTGGAAGAACCATATCCAGTAATAGCCCTTAAAGATAAAAAACAACAAAACCAGGTTTGTCTGAAAACAAGGTACACACAAGCTCCTTAAGTCTTTACATTTTTGACTGACAAACTTTCTGAAAACACGTAAAGGAAATGTCTTTGAATAAACCAAAGTTTTACCAACAGTACAAAACCCGTATCCTATCGTTGTTAAACACCAGTCCCCAAAAACACGAAACAGGCCCCCAAAAATCTCCTTTTCTATGAATTCCTGAAGTCTTGGGTTACTACCTTCTAATACCAATTCTACAATTTCCCCAAACATTAATGCTACAAACTCATTAAGTAAAAAACGAAAATAATTTCCAAGTTTAATGCAGGTTTCCACTGGTGAAACAGGACACACAGAACTTCAGTTTATATGCAAATACTGTCCTTTTCCACCAAATACAATAAATGTATATAGCACCCATATATTATAAAAATAAACAGTCCACTTATTAAATAGCCTTAGTAAACTGAAATTGATACCCAAGCAGCACGTAAGAGTGACATTATATGAAGATAATCTACCTGTAACTGCAAAGAAAAGCTTTTTAGAAGTCAAGACAATTTATAAAATGTGTCCCCTCCATATAAAAATTCGATTTCTTTCTTCTTCACATCTGCACAGTAGCAAAAAGGCAATTTCCAGTTTCAAAAACAATAAAATAAGGAAATGAATACACTAACACAAGGTATAAGCATTCTTACCTAAGGAAAATAAGGCATGAACGAATCCTCTGGAAGCTTATCAGGAAATAAGGTTCTGTTCACGAAATCCTACCTGAAAAACAAAGTATGGAAATTTTCAGTATTTTGTTTTAGAAAAGCAGGTTAGTCATATGTCTGAAATCTATCAATCTTTAGATAATTATTAAGTTGAGAAAAACTTATGATCACAGTAACTGCCTTTTGAACTGAACTCTGAAAAATAAAAGTATGAGGGGCTGCACACTCCTGGCTGAAGAAAAACCCACTGGAGATGAGTGACTGACACACAACATGCATGATCTGTGTTTTTCATGAAGAACTGCAGTCAGCTCTTCTGTCTCCCATTACTTTAATTTTGAAAGACTTAAAGCTAAAATTCCAATTTAAGATTTTTTTTTTTACTGAGTAATTTATCACACAATATCCCTCAGCCCTTTTACTTTTTTTTTCCACATTAAAATCTTTAGCAGTACACTATACAAAATTAAATAAAACCTTTGCTGATAGCAAGGTTATTTTAAAATGGCTTCTGTCATCAGCTTCTCTGAATTTTAAGTCCTAAGTTATTTCATCTCCCCAAAAAACATCTTTTTTGCCCTTTAGAATACGGTTTTAAAGCCTTCAGCTTCTTTAACCTTTAATCAGATCTCAAACTACGTTCTTTTAACACAAGGAACACCATATTTGCACAACCTCTAGCCAACTTTTCTTGCCTTTTGTGAAAAGCCATAACATTTTATTTTGCAGCAATTTTATCTATCACCAGCATTACTTCATACTCTAGAAGTGTAGAATCATTCTGTAAATATACAATTCTAAAAACCATTTTTATGCTGGATTAAAAGATATATAAATTCAAACACCTACACCTTAAACATAAAAAACCCGCCGCAGAAGTATTAAATAAAACACATTATGAATTGCAAGTAATTTATTGTCTGGACAATTACCTGCTAATTTATTTTTATTTTATTAAAATAAACCAGTCAAAACTGTTTAAAAATTATCCTGTAATATACTTAAGACAAATCCAGCAGACACCCACCTAAAGCTAGAACTTTCTTTAGGGCAAAGTGTGTATGCCAGAACCTGTTCTACACTGCAGAACTGTTGCTGGGGTTATAAAACCACCACAATCCAAATCTCAAATAAAGCCACCGAACACTTGGCATAAAGGTGACAGAAGTCCAGTGGTTGCTAGAACTTGTATTTCTATTTCCAAAAAATGGGCTAACTTCAATTGTTGCAATGACAGATTCTTATTTGCAGAGGAAGTACCGAAAAATGTAGATTTACCTCCAACTGCAGTATTTAAAATCTGCACAAGAGTTTTATAACCTTGCACAAGCGTATACGATTAAAAGCCAACAAATATGGCTATACACAACCTCCAATTAAAACGAAAGTTTTTAGTATTTACCTTTTGCTCTTCTACAGGGACTTTTTATATATTTAAAATTACAATTTTACCCTTAAATTGGTAATTGCTGAACGCAAGCCAACCCAAAACAAACGTCTGCCATTACATTTAAACTTGCATTTTTAGAAAGTCTTGCAATAGGTCTTGTATAACTTCTAAATTATCAGAACACCGAAAGGACGATTAAAATGTTTTGTAAAGAGAAGTAACTGTGAGATCTCTGAAAAACCTACAAACTGAATAATAAAAACAAACGTGATACCCATTAAATGTTTTTTAAAAGCCTTCCATGTCAGACACAAACTCATCCGTTTCCTTATCGTGTAATTCGTATTTAAGTAACTCTTTTCTTTTTGTAGTGTCGCCTAAATCACAACTGTAGTATTTTGCCAACTTTAAACGGTAGACTTGGCATGACCGAGCTTTGTTTTTCTCAAGCTTTTAAGTTTCTACACTGCCGTTTTAATTGCAAAATCAAATTTGCACGTAATTCCCAGGAGTTTTCTTTTAAACTTCTGCACCTGAATTGCTGTTTCTCCAGTGAAATCAATTTCTCTCTATTGTTTCATAAAGTACCGATCGGTCTCATCTGCAGCCCGTTTCTCTTACTGGTTTACAAAGAGTTAAAAGCCAACACCCCACAGAAAAACCACTCCAAGTTTTATTTTTAAGAGAAAAGGACATGGCGTCTTTGTTCTTAGAAACTACGAAAACACATCCCCATCCGACCAGCGACGGGCAAGAAACGCTCTTTACACAGACACGGGGCTAAACATTTCAGGGATGCTGTCGTACAGCCTTCACCTCTCCCCCCTCCCCGCACTGCTGCATTGGAGTTCCAGGCTGGTTTGCAGATACCCCCCTCGCACGCTGCGCTGGGGGAACCGGTCTGCAGCCCCCCCTGTGCTCGGTGCTGCACAGGGGAGCCAAAACCCGCCGGGGCTGTCCCCGGGGCTGCATCGGGGACAGGGCGTGCGGAGCCTCCCGGGTGCTGCAGGAGAGCGAAGGCAGCGCCCGCAGCCGCCGAGGGTCACCGGAGCTCCCCGTGTCCCGCCGCTGCCCCTCAGCGCAGCCGGGTGTCGGGCACGGACGGGGGTCCCCGAGGGTACCCGCAGGTCCCCTCAGCGAGCGGCGGGGGGGGAAGGAGGGGGCAGGGGGAGCCAGCGCCCCCTCCCCCTCCCGGCTCCAAGGACATTTTGTTTTTCCTCCCAAGGACAAAGGACAATGAGGAGCCCGGAGACTCCGGCACTTACCCGGCGAAGAGCAGCCCGCTGACAGGCACCCGGGGCCCCGAGGACGGGGCGCTGCTCCCGGCTCTCCCTGCCCGCGGCCAAGGGCGGCCCCGCGCCCGCCCGGCGAGGGAGCGGCGCGGGCAGCGCTCGGCAGCCCGGCGCCATTGCTGCCCGACCGTCGGCTGCCCCGCTCGGCAGCCCGGCTCGCCGCCCTCCGAAGCCCCGGAGCCCACAGAGCGCCGGGCCCGATTTGGCGCCCGGGAGCGGCACCGAGGGCGCCCGCCGGACGTCTCCGGCGCGAGCGGCGGGGACAGCGCCGGGAGACGGGCGGGAGCTGCGGCTGCTCCCCGGCCATCTTGTGCCGTGTGTGTGAGGGAGCCTCCGCCGTCTCCTCTCAACTCCTTGCTCCCCTCCCCCCGCACAACATGGCCGCCCGGTCGCTCCTCACTGCGGCGGGGAAGGGGCGGCACCGCGCGCGCGCCCCGCCCCTCCCCGCCCTCGGTTGCGCGCGCGCCGCGCGCCGCTCCCCATTGGCCTCCCCCCGCCCGGGCCCCGCGCGCTCCGGCGCCGCGGCCTCCCATTGGCCCGCGCTCCCCGCCTCGGCCGCCCCCCATTGGCTCCCGCCGCCTCCTCGCGCGCCGGCCGCAGCAGCCGCCCCTCAGGGGGAGGCGGGAGCGGGAGCAGGAGCGGCCGCCGCCCCCTCCCAGCCCCACCTGGCCGGGCCGTCCCACCTGAACTGGCCAGCACAGCCCTGACCCCGCCGAGCCCGAGCGCTGCCAGACCCCACTGCAGACACTGCTCATGCTGCCACTGCCGGCCTGCACTGACACACAGCGTGGCTCAGCCCCCTGAGCTGGCTGCTGGCGCCCCGCATCTCACGGCCCCGTTTGCCGCCATTCCACAAACACCACCTCTGTTATCTGCCCTTGACATGAGCCAGGGACAGCTCACCCGGCAGGGTCCCCACGGAGAAAGGGGGCCTCGAACCCCTCTGTTCTGATGGGATACACCCCGATGTCGTGCACCCTCAGCTCCAGAGCCCGGCTGGGGCACAGAGCGAGCACAACCCAGTCACCTACCCGTCTGCCACATCAATCCCCATTAATGCTGCTCAGAAACAGACGCACAAATAAAACTAAGTATCCTGCTTTTTTCAGCCAACACCATAGAAACTCATAGTGTGCCAGCCTCACCAGGACACTGTCTCCTGTTTTGACTAGAGCCATGGAAACCACTTCAGATATCAACAAGATGGAAAGGCATCCCTCACATTCCTGGTCACTGCCATGAATCCTGTACCAGCCCCAGTTATGGTGCCCTCTGCAAGAAGCACACACAGAAAACATGACAGAACTGATATTTATATCAGTTTTACTGATAGAAAGTTTCACTTCAGCAGTCACTTTGAATAACACGCACACCTTTCACCTTCGTTCATTTATCCAGGTGACTCCATTAAAAGCAGAAAGAAATTGTCCACGTCTTCCTTTTTCATATGAATGAACCTGGGTAATTATGACAGGATTAAACTAACAATACTTCAAATGATTATGGAAGGCCTCAGGATCCAGTCTGGCACTAGAGATCACACAGTTGGACTTTGGCAGCTCTCTCCTGAGCTGAGTCCTGGAAAAACCACGAGGAAGTGACCAGCTGAAAAGAATTAATACCTATGATTTTGAGCCAAGAGTTGTATTTCCTTTCAAAAGACAGAGCAAAGATGACCTCGTGTATAGGAGAGCTGGGGATATCTACTACTTGTAGACAGTGGTGTTACCATCTTCAGAGAAGGGATGGTGATGTCCCACATAAAGGTGCCACAGCATGGGAACCTCCAGTCAAGGAATCAGTGGTGGTACAAAAGAGCTGATGCAGCTTCTCACTGAAAAGGGGCAAAATGCCAATTTTTTAAAAAGTTTTTTTGAATGCCTTTTTTTTTTTATTTAAGTTCTAGTCTACGGAGACTATGGATAGCAGAAAGCCTGTTCTGCTATCCATACTTGTTTCCCATTTAGATTCCTGCAAAGGCCAATCCCCTTGCTCTCAGTAGAGCTGCTCAGCTATAACTGTATTTAAAGGTGCGTGCATGGACAGAACTCAGAGGTTGTCCTCCTTGGAAAACCACCAGCAGTGAAAAAAGAGGGAAGGATGAGGCAGGATCCAGATGAAAGCAGGGTTTAGCAACAGCACTTCTTATGTCAGCATTTTCAGCCAATCCTGCATGGTAAAACTTCACAGCAAAGACCAAGATTAGAAATTCCATGTAAAATTTCCAGCCTTTCTCTTGTTTCTTCTCAAAACACAAGAACGTTTCTAGCAGAATACGTGCATGATCACTTGCAATAACCAGATGAAAGGGAGAAAAGAGATCAGAGATTCTAGACATAATAGTGCCTTGTAAGAGTAGTGTGATTCCAGCCAGGAGAGTTGAGATTGTGCCTGAACAAGACCTAACCTGTGTGCTCAGACTGTTATCTGATTTTCTCTAGCTGTACCAGACTGTCTAGTCTAATAGACTGTTCCTCTTAAAAAAAAAACCCAACAGAACAACCCTATGCAAATTTATAGACAAATGTTTCTGGAAGTCTGTTACTCTACTGCTGCTATGTGTAACCAAAAAATTACTCAAAGTCTAAATCTTCATTAAATATGTGCAGCACTGCTCTTTTGCTTCCTGGGCACCAAGACCTGAAGCAGCTGTGAAAATCCTTCCATGTATCCATGTCCTCCTCCATTCCTTGCCCTGAGCAATTGCATGGAGGTGAACACAAGCACAGTCACTCCGCAGAGCCATGGTGTTGCTGTTCCTTACCAGGAACAGACTGTTTGCATTCTTCTTCCAATGAAACAGTGGAACAAAATTCTCATTCCTACTGCCTCTGCAGTTACCCCATCTTTTCCCTCCTAAATTCAGCATAGAGGAAATTCTACACTGCCATTTCCTCTATGAAGTTCATTCCTTCTTTTTCAGATAACACATTTTCTTCCTTTGTGTATCATTAGACCAAACACTTCAGCCATATTTTATGAACCACATGTCTAAAATAATGACACAAGTTAATGTTTCCATTACTAATTTGGGAACTATTTTCTGAGATTGCGTCTGTGGCTGGAATTCCAGATGGAGGCACAAAACCTGACTTTCTGGTACTCTGTTTTCTTCTAGAACCTTCCTTCCTTCCCCCAGCCCCATGTTATTATCCCTTAGGGACAACATAGAAAGGCACACTGTGATCCCACAGGGCAGTGTCCCTGTCCCAACCTGCCCTCTGTACAAGAGGACACCAAAAGGTTGGTGAAGCAGTTTATTCTTTGTTATACAGCATGGCCCACAGATCTTTGGAGACACAAATATAATGGAAAGACAAATATTGGACAAAATGGTTGGAAAGGCAAATACTGGACAAAATGGTTAAGTGTTATATCTGCCTTTTGAAGTAGAAAACAGGAGTCTGAACAAGACTGAAGAAAAGTCACCAAACTTTTCTTCAACCAAACCTCTCACTTTTCAGAAGAAATCAATGCCAATTTCCTAGGCCCTAGGCCAAACAGAATAGTTTAGATTACTTGCACAGAGAATACGCAAACAGGATATGGAATGCCCTTTGAGCACAGCGAGCTGTTTGTGGGAGGCATTTAACTTCCTGTGAACTGGGTGTTTATTGAAGTTATCACTTTGTCCTGAATCAAGCAGGGGCTCTATTTTCAGATTTTGTATATAACCTGTAACATGTTGGTCAAACAATCTGCTTTTTTTTTCCTCCCCCATTCTGTTTCCTTCCTCAGTAATTGACTATGAAAATCACAGTAACTGCTCAAGTAGGTACAAATTCACCTTCTAAGCATGGAACCACATTCCCTGTGTGACTGGTGAAGATGATTCCACTGTATTGATCCCAGCTAAAGCTTTTTGCTAATGTCACAAGCAATAAACCCTGCAGCAGCAAGGATAACACTCAGTTGTAGCAATGAACTCATGCTGCTCATTCTGCTCCAAGTCTGGAACTGGAGCTGAAATCCAGACTTTTGCTCCAGCCGGTAATGAATAATTGCAAACACATCGACACACATAAAGAGAACTTTTACATATGCCCTTTTTCTTCCTGGGCTTTAACACTGAAAACTGAGATTATGTTAATATGGGGGGGTTTGCTGGCACTTCTGTGGGGCTCATGTTCAGAACGATGAACCTTGTGAGCAGCAAAAAAAAGATTTATTACTATGAATAATTAGAAACAAATTCTTATCAGTGTTATAAACATATGGTAAAGAAAAAAATCATTCAATCTAAGCCAAACCCCAGTGTTTTTTCAATTTATTCAGAATGAAGCCATTTTAACCAAGATTCAGCTCTGTCTATTCCTGCTTTCAAAGAAAAGTAAGTTATTAATAAAAAGTAGAAAGATGAAATGGAAGTCAGAAATGGATTCAACATATTTTTTGGGACTTAATGGTCTCTCTGAAGCAAATTTTTAGCTTGTTGGTCGCAATGTATCAAAGTCAGTACCGTTACTGTACACATGATCTTGTGGCCTGAGATCAAAGTTTAGATCTAAGAGCTCCTTAACAACCGACACACCTCGCTGTTGCAGTTTTGCATGAGTTCCTGTGTACAATAAAGCAAATTGCAGACCAGCAACTATTGTCTAGTGAGAGGATTAATTATTATGCTTTATATTAACTCCACTAGGGAGTATACACACATTTTTCTTGGGAAATCAAATCCACTTTTCTTAAGGAGGCTTGAGACTTTTAGTTCTTCGTTTCTATTACAGATCATCTTCAAACCAACCCTTGTTGCCATCTTAACTGGAGGTAAGAAATAGAGACCACCTTAGTCAAGGTATTTATGCTGTATTTGGCCAATGTCTAACACACAGCTATTGCCTTAAATGGCAGCCTTAGAGGTATAAGAAAGTCAGAAAGAAGCTGTAGTCCTTATTCTGGTGAAATCTTAAGAGAGCTTAAAACTCTAGACTGTTTCAAACTTAAATAATGTGGGTGATAGGATAATAATATGTTTAATTGCTTCTCAAAGTAAACCACTGGAGCTTGGAACAACAAATCTGTTTTCTTTCCCCCCTTTTTTAGCCCCTACTTCTTGTATGGAATGTTCTGTTTCTTCAAGGTTGCCTTTTAGGTAAC